GCCGTCTTCGCCGCGGCTTGCCTCGGCCTTCCGCCCGCGGGACACGGGGGAGCGCACGAGTGCTGGGCCGTGGCTTCTGGTTCCCAGCCCTCGCAAGTACCGCCGCGCTGGGCTGAAGGAGCGGCAGCAGCCGGGGCTGCCCAGCGGGGAACCCAGCCTCTGCTGTACTCTAAAGCTGTTGACTTGTTTGGTACCCTTTTCCGATTGAAGAAGATGCGGGCCACCCTCAGCCCTGGGTTTGGTACATGGAGGGGTGATACCAACTGTATGCTAACACCGTGCTAGTAGCCTCAAATCATAAATTAGGACCACACTGACAGGGTTCCAGCCTCTGGATACGGCCAGAACCTGAACATATTTATGGTCTCGTAGCTTTTGATCCTAAGTGAGCATTAAAGAAGTGCTAAAGGATGCATTCAAGAACATGTAGGCATCAGTGTGTATTCTGTCAACCTATATCACTGTGATTTTACAAGGCGTTTGCTGTTCTCTATCCTTTATGTCTGTGTCATGGCTCTGGACTAACAGGCCAGTTCACATGTAAAGCGAGATCATAGATGTCAGACCATATGGAGAGACATGGTTTTGTGTTTTGCTGTCGTGTATGCTTGCAGAGAGGCTGTCATGGTTCCTTTTTAAATGTCACTTGCTTTTCCAACTCATTGTTTTCAAAACCTTGTGCAAATACATAAAAAGCAATCAGGAATGTTATCTTACCATTCATCTGAAAATACATACCTTCATAGCCCAGGTTAAGAAGAAAATGGCAAGCATTGCCATCTCTGTTTCTTGGTGGATAGCATAAGTGTGCTTCTGCTACAGTGTTCAACAAGGGGATCAACTTTATTTTTACCCATATTTATGTATTGCTGCCCCTCTGAGAGGTTGCCCACTTGCTCCTTTGTCTTATATTGCCAATATGCTGATACAGCTTTTCTGTAATTTTGATTTGTTTTTTAAAGCTTTTTTAAAAACTGAAATTATAAATGAAACAGCTTATTTTATAGAAGAGATTTAGAATGTGAAGTGTCATGTTAGCTCTTCTGTACTTAAGGAGGATTCAGGACTTAATTTTATTTCAGTTGAACATATTCACGGTTTCTAACAGAGGGACACAAGTTGTTGATAAAGTGAATTGTGAAAATCTTGGCCTAAGCCAGTTGTCTGAAGTTGCTCGGTAATTCTGTGGTAGAGCAGTAACAAATAGTTTTTCTCTTTCCTAGTTTACTCCTCTGTGAATAAATCTTTTTCTTTTATTAGTTTGTATGAGAGGACAGTAATATTCTAGATTGCTTCAATCATCAAAGGACTAAAGCTGCATAATTCTTTCCATATTAGCTCTGTGATCAGAATATTTTACTGGGGGGATGGAAAGGACTTCTAGGAGCTATTTAATTTATGTGACATACATTATTTATAATTCTTCACGTTTTAGCTTTTAATTCCACTTATGCTTTCAACAGCAATTACAATATGCTTCAGAGGCGAAGAGCAAGACTGTTTGGTTCATGAATTTAAGAAATGTAGGAACTCTGAATGACACAAGGTAAATTTTATTTTGCAATATTCATATGAAAATATCATCTCTGCATTTAAAAATAATTTCTAGACATGGTAGGACTATAATGTAATGTTGATATGATTTAAAGCAAAAGTACAGTTTTAGCAAAAAGTATTTTGGGTGAATTTGGGAAGTCACTTAGGAAGTTATTCATGTACCTAAATGTAGGTGTCTAGCACTGTTAGGGTCCATGAAATCTGTGCTTGCGGTGAGAGGATGTAACACAGTGCTTGTCAGAGACTTCTTCCCTCCTGATTCAGCATTTGGAGGCCCAACAAAGGACTGTGCAGAAGTCTAAAATGGCTTTTGCCATTAAGTACCCTAACTGCACCCTGAACCAGTACATGAATCCTGACTAATCTAAGGCTTTCCATTCTCCATGCCCCTAGACGTTTCTGTGGTGTCCCTCACAAGAGTGGCATAGAGGATATTTCAGTAACTGACTAGCAATAAACTTTAAAAAACCCCTGTGTTCTGGGTCATCAACTGAAAACTGAGTCACCGAAGTTCATAGTAACTGTTGTGTTGGAATACCCATTAGCAAAAACTGAAGTTTCTGTTGCTGGAGATACCCACCTACACACTCAGTTAAAAGTTGACATGATTTAATTACATTTGGTTAATTAAACTGATCTAGACTTTGTTTCCACTAACTTTTTCTATTTATTTAAAGAGGATAATAGAAGCAGTCTCACAAGTGCTGTAAGCCTTACATAATGGCTGCAAAGGTGCTTTGAGACTGTCTGAAGAGGAAGGTAATTATATGTTGTGTGAGCTGACACAGGCAGGATGCAGGAACAACCATAAACCCACAGATGAAATGCAAAGAGCAAATTTATTCTCGTTACCTTGTGACCCAGGGGATCTCTGTAGCAGCACCCAGCCACAGGCACACAGGCACCGCAGAGCTTGGTCCTTGCTAGCCACAAAAAAGAGAAGGGAAATTCTTGAACCTTCTGCTTTCACTTGCATATATCGGGGATTTTGGCAGGTGATGTTTTCCACTGTGCTTTGATCTTTTCTACAGCAGGGCAGGAATCTTAGGGATGTTTGATAAAGTGCCTCTCAGTCTCTTACAGGCCTGTGTTATCTAAATGGAGATGTTCTACCCATCAAGCACACAAAGCTAAAGAACAACTAGTATGATATATGTGTTTTGACACCCCAGCTGCAAGTCATTTGAGCATGTTTACAATCCTCCTCACCAATCTTCTGTTGTATTCCCATATATTTATTAGTTCATAAGCACGCTTTAAATAATATTACCAGGCTGCATTTGTAGTTCCAGTTGAGAAGTCAAATGCAATATGTAGGCAGGGCATGTGATACTGATAATTCTAAACTGCTTTTCGCTACACTGAGTTTCTTATGAGTCAAATGACATGCTTCTAAACAGGAGATGCTAGTCTCTATAGAGTTCAAAACTCAGTAATTCTTGCATAGCGGCGTTTTATGAAAATGCCTTATTTTTAAATCTAACTCTCCTCTTAGTACACAGGGGTCAGTATATCTAAGGAAAGCAGTACATAGTTCTCAGTTAAGAGATCTCGACTACCAAAATTTCAGAAATTTCATTTATAAGGTAGATTGTTATGTACATTACCTTCAGAAAAATGACTACTTGTTTTATATGATCATTTTGTGATTACCATTTCCTCCAAGATCATGGTCTTGGTATGTTTTTGTTATAGGGAAAATACTATCTTCCATGTTTTTTCCCCCTAATTACAGGCTTGTATGTCATTTGTAGCCCTTTAGATGAGACCACTTACGAAAAACTGGCTGAAGAAACATTGGACGCTTTAGCAGATTTCTTTGAGGACCTGACAGATAAGCCTTTTACCCCAGAAGATTATGATGTCTCTTTAGGGGTATGTTTTAAATATTCTATTACCTCTGTAATTGTAGAGGATTTTTTTTCTTTGAAGGAGCACTTTAAATAGTCACCTTAGTGCCAACACTTAAAATACAATGAGTTTTTACAGCTTTACTGTTAAAATATGCTGGTTTATACTGACTGGAGCAACTATTCTGATAGAGTAACATATGCTGTTATGTGATTTGAGTATTTAAAATGTTAAGTGTATAGACAAAGACATAATATAGAATAAGAAGTGAGCACAAGAGGAGACAGAAACTGGTTTCCAATTTCACAGTGTTCTATAAATTTTTCTAAACACTCACAGACCTCATATCAGCAGTCACTTCCAAGCTGGTTGAATACCAACCAGGACAGGCCTAGGCCTATACAGCATAGTACATGCACATCACATGTAACTGGTAGAGCAGTTTGATTGCCCTGAATACCGAGAAGCCATATTTGTCTTGACTGGGTAGGGTACGTTTGTTCTGGCTTCACTGATGACAGCCTGTGGTACAGAGAAGCAACAAGAGGATGCAATGTTTGGATGTGGAAGGGGGAGCACAGCACACAAGGCTACTGTCATGGGAGACACTGGGTGGCTCCTAGCCTGATAATTGGAGCCTTTAATAGGTCAGCCATTTATATTCTTTCATAGGAGCAACAGACTCAGATTAAAAATGCCCATTGTATTTGTATAGGGAATTTATTATATATAAAATTTCTGAAGTGGTTTGTATGTTACAGCCCTCTACATGACTTGGAGGAGAGTGCTGTTTCTCCCTACGCTGCCATCTGCAACAGGTCTTTCACTACTGCATTTTTCTGAGGTCACATAACTGCTGCTCTGTCTTCGTGTCTTCCACAAGGAGGTTGCTTTCTACTGGCCTTGTCAATTAAGGTTTTATGCTCAGGGATGTTGAAGCAGATGGTTTGCAAAAAAACCCAACCCCCCCAAACTCTCTAGTTTTTGGACTTGCTCCTGTGCAACTCTGTCATAATGTTCATTCTCTATTTCTTATAGCTAGGATAGAAAATAACGTCTTGTTAGTAGGATTTTGTTGTTGCCCTTAACAAATACTATTTGTGACTTCAAATATGTAGTCAGTGTTACAGTTAATTGTTCATCTGGTGAAAAGCAATTTTTAAACCATTATTACTCATTATGTTTTAGTGTATCAGTGCCTATTAGCCTAAAGAGCTTAGGACAAAAATTTACCTCTTTAGTATCCTTAGATACTTCATTATGTGAAGGTGGTGAGTCATCTTGTGGCAGTTGTATCTCCAGCTTCTGTAGAATGGATTGTGTTTTACATTGACTCACTGTAAGGCTCAAAGAGAATTATTTTTATATCCATCATAATTTTTACCAGTACTCCTTTTTTGCATAGACCGTATGATGACATGTATTGTCATTTCTGTTAAGAACAAAAAGTTAAATAGTCCCAAGTTTGCCAAAGTTAATTCCAAACAAGACTAGGGCTATAGCAAGCCACAAGGTGGCGAACACGATAAAGGTCTATTATGTCTGTGAACTATTACGAACTATTTAGGTCGTCTTGTCCAGGGGAAAAAAAATTTCTTTCGAAGAATATTTTTGTTACCAAGAGCTAACAAACATTCATCCAGTAGTACAAAACACATACAGTACTATTTCTTAAAATATGGTAAACATATCTTACAATTTAAGTTCTTAATAACTTGAGTTGTATTTTCTTGTATTTCAAAAGTGTTGCAAAATGTATGAGAAAATGTTTAAACACAGCATTAGAAGTTAGCCTTTATTTAATTTGTAATGACAGTAACAACACTCTAACAGCTGACACACAATGTAAGCAATAGTATAAATTTATTTGAACACCTGTTTACTTACATTTTTTTGTAGCATACAGCATAACATCATGCTGAATACTTAATATGTAGAGTATGTAGAGTAGTGAAACCTTTATATCACTATTCAGGCCTAATCCCCCAACCTGCTCTTATTCTGCTGTATTTCTACAGATCTAAGGCCACCGAGATACAGAAAAGTTTGAATTCTGACATCAGAGAAGTAGCTTGTTCCTGTCCTTCTTTGCACTAAACCAATATCCAATTAATAATGTAACTGGCAGGACAACCTCCCCTGGCAATATTAACCAGGGGAGCCTTTTATTTTTATTTTATTGATCACAGATATAAATCCATAATCAAGCACAGAAACAACATGGGAACTAAGGCTAAAAAAAATCAGACCTTGAGGGTATTATTTCCTGTCTGATGATCCTTGAGATATGTCAGAAACCAGTAAGAGTTGTTTTGTAGGGGATGGAAACTCTAAACTGCTGCCTGTGCTACAGAGTAAGTTTGCAAGTAGCGGGTACTCATAAATGAAAGTATTTTTCCCCCCAGCAAGTGTTTAAATATAGCGAATAGCCCTAGCAATGATAGAAGCTCTTGTAGTATCTTCTGACTAAAACATGAAAAGCAGGATTCCCTTAAGGAACTTTATCATGCTATAGTGCATGAATTATTTGAGAAACTGTAGATTAAATATGACTTAACGTTTTACCTGAATCATCAAACTGTACTCTGTAGAGATACCCTTTATCATTAGCATAATTTAGATCGTCTGTAGGTTAACTCTAGTCCAAGTAGTGTTCCTTCAACATTAGGACAGAAATATTTTTGTCAGTTATGTATGCTTTTCAAATGCACTTGTGAAAATAACAGAGAAATAGGAATCATGTTAGTAACAAATGTGAGTAAGAAAGAGAAAATAGATGCTTACTAGGATAATGGTCTAAAGCTGGCATAAGTAAAACAAACCAGACCTAATGGAGTTTAGAAGTGGAACATTTTTGAGGTAGGATTCAGGATCTAGGCACTTCATCAGAATTACTGGAGAAAGAATTGTGTTTATTCACTGAGGAACTGTTACTTAAGAAAAAATAGGTAAAATTGCATGGCTCAAGAATCTGCTGATGACACACAAAGCTTCTTGACTTTGAATCACACCAGTTCTGCCTTGTTCATGAATAGAAAAATTTGTTACTGGATGATGTTTTAATCATTGCAAAATGAACTAGCAGTCCTTTCAAGATGACAGGTCAAAGCTCAAGAGAATTATTTGAGTGGTGCCATTGTGAATGGTGCAAGCACACTAAATGGAACTCTGACCAGAAGGTTTAAAGTCTAGATCAATCTAGACTAAAAGATATGCAGGTTTCCTAGGTATTAGGACAAGTTTTTGATACCTAATGATCACTCTTCAGAGCTGTTTTTGTTTGGTAAATAGTTGGGAGTGTGGTACAGATATGTAAGTTACTGTTTATCTACTGCAGATGATGTAATTCTTGTCAAGTAACAGGATACGTATTTTTAATTTCTCATTTATTTCATTTGTGTTTTAAGAGTGGAGTTCTAACAGTTAAATTAGGTGGAGACATGGGGACATATGTAATCAATAAGCAAACACCAAACCGGCAGATTTGGCTGTCATCACCCACTAGGTAAGTTCTGTGTAAATTAGTTACGTCATGTCTGCAGACTGGGTGGAAATGTACTTCCCCCTTTTTATAGCATGCCATGGACTGTGTAATATCCTTTTCATAAGTAACTCTTTTACTCAGTGTATTCTCAAAACATGATATAATCTAAATGTTAGATAATAATTTGTTATAGAGGATAGAGGCATGGTGCAGTCTACTGACATAACCTAAAATTTTTCATACCCTGTTCCAGTCCAAACCCACTGTCTACAGGAATATAGCCTACTTACAGAAAAAATAAACAGCCATTATTAAAAAAAAAACCCAACAATAAAAACCAAAACAAAGCTGCTGTTGGAAAAAAAAAAAAAAGTGATGATGATGTTATGATCTAAACCTCTCTTTGTATTTAAACAGGGTGGCTCCTTCCCCTTTAAGCGTGTGGGATTTCCTGCTTTATATGTTTATGTGCTCTCCCACCGCTTGTTTTTGTCAAGCATCTGCACTTCATGGGAGCCTTGGCTAGCTCTGCCTTCTCTGATGCTGTGTTTTGATCCATTCTAGTTTTTCTCTTTGGTTTCAGCAGGGAGGGCAGCCAGATATGTAGAAAAATGTAGCTGTCTCCCCAGAAAATTTGTATTCTCTGTCACTGCCACAGGGAGAAGACACAAGGAGTTGGTCAGTGTTATTGGTGAAGGAACCAGCTAACTGGAAAGTATGAGCACACCCAGTAACTATGCAGGTGTACTTTAATGTTCTTCAGAAAGAACGTATTGATTACAAAACTGGGAATAGTTTTGCAGTAGTAGAATTCTGTAGTAGGTGTTGTGTCAGGGAGAAAACAATGCACAATAGAATTTAAGATTTAATTTAAGAGAAACAGTTTTAATGGACATAAAATTTACATAAAATTCTACTTTTGCTTTAGTGTACATATGTACTGGCTGGTACATCGCATACTAGGTTAGTAATTTTCTTCTACGAACTCCTATTCTGGAATCCTTTTATTAATTAAATAATTTTCTTAACAGGTACATTACTTGCTAAGGCACAGACCTAGCAAACTAACAAACCTTTTGGTTTAGACAGATGCAGGCTGTGTGTCAGAATTTATTCATTCCGGATATATTTTGCAACAAGCATAATTTCTGAACCTTGATTCTGCTTAAGATGTCTATAAGATTTTTTGTGTCACTAACACAAAGGTTTCATCAGTTTATGAAAACCAAAGTTCAGAGAATTCCTATCTGTTTAAAGCCAGCTCTAACTGTGCTGAGACACACATGCTCCAGAATGTGAAATCAACAGAAAATGTTAAAACTTTTTTTTGATTGATCCAGCAATGAATAAAAATACTCAAGGAAAGAGATAAACTTGAAAATTCTCTGATGGTATTTTTCATCTGTGATGAAAAATGATTCACCTACAAACATTTTGTGCTTCCTTAACTGGTATTATGGTGAAAGGGGTATTTCCTGAAAGACAGCGCTACTTGCTCACTTCCTGACTTTGGAAAAGCAACTCTGGCAAACACTATGTGATCTGAAGTGACATACTTCTTAAGTGCAGTGTTCTAGGAAGTGAAAGAAGCAAATGTTATTGCCAGGGATTACTTGCATTGGATGTTACATTTTGGAAATTTGTACAGTAAATATAGAATCTTGAGTCTCTAAGAACATATCCCAAGGGAGACAAATTCTTAAGATGTGGGAGAGAGACATTTTCTTGAATTTTTTTTTTTACCATCTGTTTGCTATCATGCATCTATACACCAAAGTGAACTTAAGCTTCAGATTTTAAAGCTTTACTTAGTTGACTGTTAAAAAAAGGGTGTGAGAGGGTGCATGTAACCTGCCAGCAGTGTGATTGCAGTAATTTCATGTAGCTCCTTTGACTGAAAAGACTTTTTTAACCTTACACAGCATCTTTTAATACCTTCATGTGGTATTTTAATTCTTCTCTCTGTTTAAAAATATATACTGACTTTGCACGAGAAATATATTTAGCCTATATTGTAGGTATTTTATAGAATTTACAAGATCCTTTCTTAATTTAAATTAAATAACATTTGTACAGTATTTTGGAGATTCAGATAACTATGGAGGTGTTTCACATGCTAACCATATCACTGATATGTACTATGTAACATGTAAAAACAGTTCAGGTAACTTAGGCAATTTTTATTTGTCATTGTTGATTAAAGGGCCTGTCTTAGCCTGATTTTCATGAATGACTGTGTCCCATTCTGTCATGGTGCAGGACAGTACAAACATATGCCTGCTCTGCAAAGACAAAGAAGTGAGAAATGCATAGTAAAGTAACTGGAGCACATAATCTCGATTCCAGATAGTTACCAGTTCACATACAGCAAGTGAGATTTCAGCGGAAGTGACTGATTTGTGTTTGCATTTGTGACTTCTTGTAGTTTGGTTAGTAGTTGAAAAGTTCTTCATTTGAATATTGCAAGCAGTTCAGGTTATTCAAGGTTCAGATTAATGTTTATGTTTGTAGAAAACCTGCAAATTTTTGTTGTGTATACATTGGATAGTCTGTTTTCTAGCAGACCTTGTGCATGGATTGTCTTGAGTTCCAAGGCATTTTGTCCTATGAGTTCAAGAATAAGACTGATGGTTTGTCTGTTCATCCCAGATTACCATTCTATTCCTTTCTCTTTTCTTAGTTTCTCTAGCTGACGTTAATAGTAGTGAATGCTTTTCATTCTCCTGTTACAGATGTGAAGAATTGGGGGGATAGAAAGGTCTGGAATGAAACCTGGGTGTTCAAGTTTTTCTCAGTACTTACGTAGGTCTGAAAAAATCAAGCTATGACTGTATGATAGCATAGAGGAAAATAGCATTTTATATATAAATCTCCTACATGCTAAGGCATTTGCTTTCAGCAGGGGAATTCTTTTGTTGCATCTGAGAAGAAAGTGATCTGTGTTCTGCCATGCGTAGAATATTTGCATGTGACTGCTGCAAGAACTAATCAATAGCATTAATTCAGTGTTATACAAATATCCCTTGTAGTATTGGGTGCAAGAAAATTATACGGGTGAGGGAAGAAGGGGGTAAGGGAAGAAACTGGGGAAGTCATTGCCAAAAGCAAGAAGGGAAGGAGCTTCTGTCTGCTGGGAGTGACAGATTTATATGTCTTACAACCTTTTAGATACATCTGTTGGATTGCTCAGCAGTTCCTCTTCTGCTCCACTTCCCTAGACACCCCCAGCAGTCCTTCTCCATGTTATCTGTTCCTTTTCTGGGGCACTCTTTGGGGTACATTATAAATACAGGCTTCCAGCAACTTCCCATGAATAATCTGTATTTACACAGTGTGTTTTGTTTTCTAGTGGGCCCAAGCGCTATGACTGGACTGGACGGAATTGGGTGTATTCTCATGACCAAGTATCCCTTCATGAACTGCTATCAAAAGAATTTTCAACAGCATTAAAAACTAAATTGGATTTCTCCTGCTTAATATATTCTGGGAAAGAAGATACTTGATGATATTCTACCTCATGGAAGTTTAAAGACTTTAACCACAAGCCAAGCCCCTTCCTTGGTTTCTGAAGTACCTGAGCTAAATTCTGTTCTTGTTTTTCCTGATATCACTATGTTGTGCAACAAAAATGAACACATTTTTCTCCAGTGCTCAGTCTTCGGGCTTCTGTGCCACTGCTTGTATCTGTGTTCATGTAGTACCAGTGTTTGAAGTTGCCCTTCCTGTTACTGCATTCCTTACTTTCTTACTGCAGAAGTAAGTAATGAATTCTAAACTGTCTGTTATCTTGTTCGGATGTAAGGACAGAAGCTGAGCTCTTTGGTGAGACATTCAGCCAAAAAGTGCCTGTGAATCCCATTGACCCAAGTTGTGGTATTGTGAATGCATTGCATTAAGATTTGTGGCTACTGCCAGTGAGTAACGCATCACAGTCAAATTAAACATCTAAAAAAAATGACTGTGGCAGGTAGAAACATCATACTGCATAATGCATGTAGTAAGTTTTCCTCTCAGTATTGCAGAACTCGCTTTTTTCTCCAAGTTCTAAATTCTAGTTTCTTTCACATTAGAATTTTTTTTGAGCTAAACTTTAAATTGCTTAGAGGTCTGTGTGGCTGTAAGCATCATAAAAAACTGAAAAGGCTGGTATGTGATGTTTAAGCTGTGCAGCAGCACCTCTTCAAATGCTTCATTCTGTTACTGTGGACTTCTCTTTCTGTTCCCTTTTGTTCTTCAAAGAGTAAAAATACGTAATTTATTGACTTTTTGAGTTGAGCAAAGTTAAGATCCTCTCATGGTAGCAAAATTTGCACTAATTTTGTTCTGCATTTCTTAAGTAAGAGAGCTTAGGTTATCTTTTTTCAACATAATAATAGGCTCCCATTGTTACCATGCTGATACAGGAACTTTTGCCTTTTTGCTTTTTACAGCTGAGTATGGTTTTAACACTGGTGAAGCTGTCTCACTGGGGCTGTTTAAAAAATGAGAATGAAATATATTTTATACTCTGGATCTTAAACCAAAAAGCTTTTAAAAAAATCACGATCTGCAAGAAGAAGTCTTCGACACTTGCACTATTGTATTATTACCACTGGTGGTTTTTAATTGCCTGTAAAATGGAAGCACAAAGTTGTTGACTAATTCTTGAGCAAACAGTTATACTGTACTCTTATGGATTGTTTTATCAATGTATGAAAAGATGTTCAGTGCGAACTGGTTTTGTTTCCTCTGCTTGTGGTTAGTTTGGCACACTTCTCTGGATAGCAAGAATTATTACAGATGTGATTAATTTTGTCATTGAAAAATAATTGCTATATAGTACTGTTGCACAGTATTTGCATTTGAAGTATAACTAACATTTCACTGGAAGCAGCTCTTGGTTAATTGTGCATACTGTGTGTTTTTTCAATCAAAATAATATGACAACTGAAATTACAGCTGTACTGGATGAGATACAGTGACTCATGATACAAGAGTTAAATGTGCTTTTTTTAAACAAAAGAAAGGTAAAAATAGCATGTCTTTTTACTGTTTTGAACTTAGAATACTGAAAATAATTTACAGCATATGGAAAAATAGTATTTTAGCTCAATCTCCTACGAGTTCAAATAGCCATTTAAACACATTTGTATAGATGTTAATGACTTGATATTTGAATCAAGGATACTTCCTCCTCATTCTTCCTTGGCCTCATCGCATATAGCTTATGAAAGAAAATTTTAAGTCATTTGCATACAACATTATTTACTAACATGCATCAGATATGTATTTGGACGTTCATTCTCCATTCCCTTATGTCTCATGCAAATGTTTATACCAAAATAAAGTTGCATGTAGAATTCTTCTACCATTTAAAGGTGTGATTTCAAGCTATGTTGATAAAGCTTAAGACCACAGACACATGTATTGTTTTGAATTATTTGTGTTTATAAGACACTTACTGGAAAGATTCTGTTGAAAATTTGGCCAATTGGGCTGGATTTTACAAGAGTGCTTCAACTTTTACATTTGACATGCCTTGCCCTTTAGCCATAATGCTGCTGCTATTTATGCAAACAATTTCCTGGTTTTAAGTATCTGAGTAACAAATGGATTTAATCTAACTGGTGAAGATAAATAGCATCAGCAAGTTAGAATGAGTTTTATCTCAGTGTACAAAATGAATCATAAGATGTGACTCATTTTTTGCTCTAATACTTGCATGAAAATTTAAATAAGGACAAGGAGTTCATCAGCCATCATGGTCATACAGTGGAGTCCCAGGACGAGCTCTGATCCTCATGTCAGACTTAGCATATTGCCCCAAGACAAATAACACTTCTGTACTATTTTTTACTTTCATAACATACGTGAATAAGCAGATTGTTCTGTGGTTATGCACCTGACATCACAGCAGTAGTTCCTTGCTTCACCTCTCCCAAAAGAAATGGCTGAAGGAGAATCCTTTGATACGTGCTGTGGACAAGAAGAACCATGGTGTTACTGGCAGCGTTCTTCCCACAAGACAGTTACTCCAAATTCAGTGAAGGAAAATATACAGTGTACTTTTGAAAGACGAGTATCAGCATTGTAGCATCAGCACCAGATGCTCAGACTCATCAGAGAAATTGGGGTGTGTTGGATTTTTTGGGGTATATCAAGAGTTTGCACCCATAGCTACTCACTCTCTGATGATTGTATTTTTCTGCTTCAGGCCTACAGTCTGAAAGTCCTAGCATGTCTAACCTTGCTAAAATTCACTGTTTACTGTGAGTGCCAGTGAATTCTTTGGAAGTTGCAACTGATTCGTGTAGTCAACTTACATTTAGAGCAACTGCTGTATCGGTCACAAAATACTACATCTGTTTGACAGGAGTTATGTGCCTAAATGCTTGTCTGGTGTTTGCTGGTTCGTTTTTCTTTCCACTTGTGATAATTCTTAAGAAATGTTACCTTTTCCCTATAAGACTGATCCATGTGATAAAATAATTTCCTTAAAATTCCCAGTCTTTTAGCAGCTTCAATAAATGGGATAAAGACCTGTCCTGAAGAGGTGCTAGTCAAATAAGAGAAGGCGGATTTGCAGGGAGGTTTGTGATTACTTTTAGCTTCTGGTTAATGGTTGAACTCTTGAGATTGTGTTAACCAGCTCTGGAATGTGTGGAAGTCCTGGGAAGAAGGTGGAGGATAGCCAAAATACATGGAAGAGCATTCATAACAGAAAAGGGAAGCACGAGAGGGGCACAGGCAAAGGCTCTCAGGAAGAGATTAACTTTGCCCAATGGCTGATGTCATTGGCAGGGCACTGAAAGACTAGGGGCAAGCTGTTGTGGCACCTTAGGGGATAGTATTTTAAATCTTCTGCACAACACTATAATTGTAACCAATCAAACATGTTCCAGTTCATTTTGATACTGAGATTTTTTTAAACTCCATTTTAAAGATAAGAAAAAGCTGTTCGGAGTTATGTCCCCCTCTGCCTCAAATTGTCTTTTATGTAAATTGTACTGTTGGCAGTCATAGAACAAAGACAAGATTCATGACTTCAACTAAAGGAGGCAGAAGAGGATGTTTTCCTGGGGATATAATCAACAGAACTATGAACAAATAAAAGTTTTTTAAACAATTATTAATGACAAATGTACTTTGGAGTTCAGGTTGAAGGAAGATAAGTTCAGATAAGGAAACAATAGATGTTTAAAACAAGCCATATAATGTTGCTGCTCTCTAATTTGCTGAATTGTTTTAAAAATTGTGTCATGGTAATAATGCTAAGTGAGCAGTATTACAATAAGTAATTTTGTAAGCGTTGTCAGTTTCCAGATGTAGGCTCTTCTGCTAGCCATCAATGTTCTCTACTGTTCTACTGAAAAAAAATAGGAATACATGAAATAAGTCAATAGTATTACTCCTCTTTACAACATTTTAAAACCATTGACCAAGCATCATAAGGTCACTGTTACAAAAGTAGCTTCAGGAAAAGGAAAACATTTAAAGAACAGACGAAGTTTTAAAACATTAATTAAGGAAACTGACACCCAGCACAGTGTAAACCAAATAATCTTGACACATACCTGGAAGTGTAGCTAAATTACCACTCATCACGCCTTGATTCTGTTTGAATGCAATACTGTATTTCATACTGATTGCTGGGTCTGTCTGTGGCTGACAGAAAATGTCAAGTTACTGATTTAGTGCTTTTGGTATTCTCCCCCCCCCCCCCCCCCCCCCGGGGTTTGCGGTTTGGGACTTCTAGACTGCAATGTTCACTTGAAGACTACAGTATGCACATGCATGTTAATTATTAACTATCGCTACAAGCAAGCTTTTTCAATAAAACGTCTGAATGCAGTTTTGTATCTGCTGTCAATGGAATAGGCTCTTTCGGTGCCTCCTTCCAAAGTCCAGCACCTTCATGAATAACACTGTTTGCCTTTTTAATCTCTGCATCAGGCATACTGCGCAACCATCAACTGCACCTCATGAGGAAGAAACCAGTATGAATTATAAATGCTGTGGAAAGCTAGAACATTTAGTACCCATTGAAAAATCATCTGCTGCTTCCCAGAAAACTTGTAAGTAGATATTGTTTCACAGGCCTGATACCAGGGAAATGTATACTGTTTGATTTTAGAGGGGTTTAATGCCCAGGAGAGCTGGTAAGGAATTCCTCGTGCCATTTAGTGCTCTACAGTGCCGAAGAAATACGACTCCACAGAATCCTGTAAAGGGTGTTTGGCCGTGCCTTTCTCATTTCGGCTGCAGGACATCCCTGACGCCGGAAAGCTGATACCTGTGGAATGCCAGCCTGAAGTGCTGTTCCCCTTCGTCAAATTAAGGTTTCGGGAACAGCATTCGTGCGACTTGTGGAGTGATGCTGCATGTTCTGGCCTGGAAATGGAGCTGCTCTGCCCTCTCCTAGTCTTGGGTGTTTCTCCTACGCGTGATAGTGTGAACACCCAGCTCCTCAGAGCTGCTGGGTGCCAGAGCACGCCAGTAAAGCGGTGGGAAGTTGGCCGTAGCCCTGCTGTGATGAAAGGCAGGAAAAAAGCAGATTCAGAAGCATACGTGAAGCACTGCACCGTGATTTTAAAGCTGTTTCAGAGGTCTTTCAGCTGGAAAAGTTTAGATGGGCGATGATCCCAAGTTCCTAACAAAACGTGGACGTAAGCGGAAGAAACACACAAATGCAGTGCTGGGTGACAGCAGCGGCGGCGACCGGGCTCGGGTCGGGGATCGGCTTTTCCCTAACGGGATTAAGCGGCTCTCCGTGACTTTTTCCGTGCTAAGTACTTTCTGGGAGAGCTGATACTGCGTGGGAAGTGGGAGAGATGTCACCGATGAATCAGGGGTTTTGTTTAGCCGTTTTTTTCCCCTCAGGAGGGGCGGGTCCCCCGGCGGGCGCTCGCCCCAGGCGATGGGGGCTCAGGTTGCCTTTGTTACAGGCAGAATTCCTGAAATCTTTATGTTGGCACATCCTGAGTGGATTCCAGCCGTGCCTTGGGCTTTGGCTAAGTGGGTCAGGGGAAGTTTCAAGTTAACAGTGAACTGTAAAACAAAGGAACAAGCAGTTCCAGGAGCCAAATGCCTGATTGCCCACTTGAAGTGCCTTGGCATCGGCCTTGTTTTTGCTGCTGGAGCCCCAGGTACAATTAGATTTGCATCGTGGAGTGTCAAGGTTGATCTACCAGTGGCATGCACGTGCTTTATTAAAGAACTCTGCCCTTACTTTTCCCCGACGTGCAATCTGTTTCCTCTGCGTATTTTTCCAGGGTGAAAAAGTACACGCTGCCTGAATATACTTGTGTAAGAGTTGTATACTCATCTTTCAGATTGGTTATCTGAAAACTTCCATAACTCCAATGTTGCTTTCTAATAATGACTCACTTAAAACACCTGAAATCTCTGAACAACCTGCTCCCTGGGTTCAATTTATAAACTGGTGTTGAATGCAACAGCTAGGACGGTATTTGAAAGCTCTCAGCCCCTCTGTGCTTCAACAGAGGCCACCAAAGGTCAGCTTTGTTTCAACTTTTGGAGGTAATGATCAAGGTGGGACAGTTTGAAACATATTAAAATGATTTACCTTTTCTTTTGCTCGGCAAAGTTTTGTTTTAAAGGTTTAGGATTGTGAATCAGCTGAGGCTCAAAGCAAGGAAAAGAAAAACATATGCTATGATCGATAAAAATGCTTCTTTTGTTTCTAAAGCATTCATAGTCTAAAGATCCATCTATAAGCTCTTCCAAGCAATGACCCTTCTTAGGATCCATGAGGTCTGCATGGCAAGAGTAAGGTACTGGAAAGCATGGGCAGTCTGCTTACATAAATTGATATTCGCTGATAGGCTGCTTGAGGAGACTGAGAAACACTTTGCATGTAGTAAGCATGTGCGTGCCATTTTGACATGGTCAGTAAGATTTATAATTAGAATAATAAGTTATAAAATTTATAATTAGTATAACCTAGCACTTGTGAGGACTTTGATCAGGCTTCTGTGGAAGCTTTCTGCATGTATTTGACTTTTAGGCGAGGGTATTGTTACAGTTGCTTCCAGACTGTTACATGCAAACATCATCTTCCACCCTAAACATTGCATTCAGGTAATGATAGTGACTTTCTCCCCTTTGCAAAAAGGAAATCACTCTGGATTAGAGAAACTGCTTCTAACTTTATGTTCTGCATTGCTCTGCATCACAGTATCAGTAACTGCTATTATGCTCGGTGCCACTACACTGGGTTTGTGTGTCTAAAGATGAGTGTTGGGAATTATGCAGTGGGGTTAGGATGAGCCCAATACTTTGCATGAACTATAATCTCAATAGAGCTCTTTAGAGTGAGGCATCAAAGTAATTAAGTATCTGATACTTTCTTGATTGCTTAATCCCCCCTTTCCTGGTTCAGTGTCTTCTAAGGACAACTAGGAAATCTTTCTTAGTGATTGAAAAAATGTTTAGGCACAGACACAGTTCACAAAATGGGATGTGTCGTACTTTTATAAAACCTAGATGCCTAAAAGCATCAGAAAGTTCCTGGATCCTGGTAATCCTCAACTGGGGATATTCCTGAACTACTTCAAAGCCGCATTTAAGAGCGAATTTAGATGGTTGCATTTATGTGTGTGTTTTAACTTATCAACATTGTCTCGAGAACTTCCTTGTAGGGTAAAGGAAATCTCGTGTTACAAGACTGTTCTCTTCTAATTGCTGGAATAATAGTATTTACATTCTCAAGATGATGTAGCTTTTGTCATGCCTTGGCTGCATCAGTTTCATCCTATTGTAGTAATCCTGGAACCAGTCATTCTAATAACAGGGGAAAGAAAGCACTGACATGGTGTAACAGCTGTGCCTTGTTGAGGTTAGAGACTTCCCTGGCTGGTTTATTTTCAGATGGGTATGAAAATACTCATTGTTGGGAAAAATAAATTTATTAAAACTCAACATCAACTGCATAAGGCCTGTGAACCTCAATTCCAAATTCCAGTGAATTTCTGTGAACTGTAGAAGACTCCTCAAAATTAGGGCAATCTGTGTGTAAAACAAATGTTTATGGCAGTAACGATATAGGGCATAATTTTTAGGCCTGTGTTCTAATACATGAATCTTGCCATAGTAAATAATGCAAATGACGCATTACCCTCAAAGACTGCAGTACCAAACTGGGTATGACTTACGGTTTTGCATGACCATGCTGACATACACATCAGTGCATGTCAGCTTTCACAGCTAAAGGTTTGGTTTCAGTCCTGTGACCAAATACGCTTTAAGTTGTTTGGGAATCCCCATAGAAGTACTCAGGTTTAATTTCTACACAGACTTTTCTCCCCGATGCTTTTGTCAAAATAGAGCTGTTCAACCACAGGGTGCTTTCCTCAATTATTTGAACCTGTCCTCTTCCTCAGAGCAGCACTGTGTTAAATCCTTGTGTCTGTTCCCTTGTAAAGTGTGCTTGCTTCTTATCCTCAGAGTCTTTGGAGCCTTCTGTTGCCCTTCAGTGGTCCTTCACCACTACCTGAAGAGGTAAATTATAATTTAGAACTTGCTGCAATAATTTATTTATTTTATCAAACAAAGCTTTAATTTAACAGTAGAGGGCTGAGGTTGTTTTTAACTTAAATATTGCATAATTAACATGGGTACTGACTGTAGTATGGGAATGAAACGGCTTCGTGCAGCAGCAAAGACCACTCCAGATCATTTCACAGCTTCAGCTATTAATATTTGGGTGGTTTTTTAGTTGCGTTGTTATTGTTGCTTTTTGGTTTTTTTTTTTTTTAATCAGATGTTTGCTTTTGAAAGTGCACACTGCTAAGGTGTATTGTAGATTTCTGTTTCAAATGAGAATGCAGACTGTGGCAACTCCTTTCTGTCCAGCATTAGATGACCCTTGCAGTTGTGAACATGTTTAGGATGTTTATGATCCAAGCCTAGAAATGACAGATTGAACTGTGGGAGCTCTGGTTTGGTGTCTTGTACAGCATCTACCCTAGTGTGCATTCATCAGCTGCAGGCTTTGTTTTTAGGAAACATGAGCTACCCAAGTCTTCCTGAATTTAGGTCAGCATTGTCATTGTGTATTTGAGTGTTGGAACCTCAGATAACCATGATTCCTAATCTAAGAAGAAAATGAAACTCATTAGTGCTGTATTTTCACATGTATAAGTGAAAATGACAAAAATACCATGTGATGCAGTAGTAGGGCCAGTAAGTACTGTGCAAGGAAAAATGTAAATCCCCTTTTGATAAGATTTTTCCCAATGCCTTCTCCCTTTCCATGCTTTTGTCTTTGCTTCTGTTTTGCACCAGAAATCCAGAACTGCTTTTGAGAAATTTATTCTTCTTTCTTAAAGGTATGTAGATTACCTTGGGTGTGGTCTGTATACATGTGAAATGTCAGATTAAGGATGTCTAGTTAAGTGTGGGTTTGTTTTTAATAAGCTAGGCATGAATTCAGATATTTTGGATCACTTCGCATTTTTACTCAGATTGGCTCAATAATACCTCTTCCAAAAGCTTTTTGTTGTCATTACTCTGGTATAACAAACTAATTCTTTAACATCAGCCTGCACTGTATTGATAAACTGAGCCTGAACTCAACAATGTTCAGCGTCATCTAAACCAACATTTCACCTATTTGTTCAAGCTATTTATTATTTGCTTTGTTAGCCTGTTTTTCTTGTTTTCTTTTTTTTTTTTTGTTAAGAGACATTAGAGAAAACCCGTAAATCTCTCTTGCACATCACTGTTAACAGCAAGGTTGTCTGTAGTCAGGCTTGCTCTCTCTATTCTTACATCTGCTTCATCATCTAGTTCTGCTTAATAGCCAGCAGATTTGACTGCTGGTGTCTCTAGCTTCCTTAGCACAACTTTGTATAAGCTGATTCTGAGAATCTCCAGGAACATATGGACTGTTCAGGCAAGGGATGATCTCTAAGAAAGGGCCAAAAGCAGCTGCAATCCATGAAGCTGTGTGAAAAGAAGTTTCCTGGTCCTAGTCCTCCTCTTGCCATGAAACCATTCCTTCCCCCAGTCTGATCCTTGATTCTCTTTATCTCTGTTTCAACAGACCAAGCTTTTACATATAGGTTGATTGTTTTTCAAGCTATTTCCTAGCTATATGGCCCAAACAAAACACATGTATATTCTGGAAGTTAACTATTGTCTATCATAGTTATTCTTGTCACCTGAGAAAAAAGCATGTAGGAAAAGACCTTAATTTCAAAAGGATTTTGTCTCTTCCTAAAGGTGGAAAGTAATTTGTGGATACATTGGGCAATGGTTGTCTCCTTTGTAGTTGGGTGTGAAGTGACTGAACATGTGATCATGCTTCTGTCATCATTTTACATGAAGTATGCTCTATATCTAATTAAGGGAGTGTGACTGTTTTCATCTGTCAAGGATTGGAGCAAAACGAAGCTTTCGCTTTGATCTCATAAATGTTTCTTTAATGTAGAAAACAGCTGCTCTCATTCTTTCCTCATTCCCAGAAATGCCTTATTTTCCAAACCATCCACTGCCATCGAGTGTACAGTTTTTACAGTGTGAATGAAAATAAGCAAACTTCAGAACTGCTTTTGCAAAAGTAATCTGTAGAATTTCAGCTGGATTGAAGTCACTGACCCATGACTGAAACATTGGTGTTTTGTTTTTTTTTCCTGTTTCAGCTCAGGAAGCACAGGGGGAAAAAAAAAAAAAAAAGAGTAGGGAACTTTGGAACAGATGAAGAAACGCTGCTGGTTTTTTTTTTTTATGGAGTCCTCTTTCCCTATAGCCAGTGTAGGTTGGTAAGGCTATGATAGGTGCTCCAAGCCTTTGGGTTGCCACTATATACTATATCAATTTATAGAAACGCATGTTACTGGATTTCTGCTATTTTGTAAACTGATTAATAATTAATGTGCGATATCCATAGGGAGAGGGTTAGCAGAGAATGCAAATACAATGAATAAACAATTAATCTTCTTAACTGAGCTGTAAGGTGGTTTCTTACTGTTATCTTTTTGGATTTGGCTGAGGAACGTAAGTTCCTGAAGTTGACACAAATATTTTTCTTAACAGATTAATTCTTAGCTTATGTTTGTTCACTTGTGTGTTCCCAGTTAGGAAAATTGCAGTGTGTTCTTTCCAATAAAACTTGGTGTTTGTTCTTCCTGAAAAAAAAATACAAAGGCAGGAGAAGGGAAGTGGATGATAACTCCCCAACAGGAAACAATAGATGAAGGTATGTTTTAGACCTTTTGTTTGCTCTGCAAAAGCCATCCTTGACTAACAATGGATGTACTAGCAGCTTGGAATTTCTGTTTTCAAATGAAGTTGATAAAGTGTGAGTCAGTCTTAGTCCCTCTGGATACCCAGAGATTTCATGAACCATTTAGCCAAAAGCAGTACTTGGGACTAACTTCTGCTTATTGTGTGAGCTTGGCTTCTCTGTGTACAAGGCTATTTGTGGGGCACCTGTTCCAATCAGAATTGATTGGATTTGCCCAAAGAGACAAAAGATGGACCAGAGCTGCACGAAATGCTTTTTAGACTTTGCATAAGACTGTGGCTTTGAAAAGTACTTTGGGGAAGTTTTTGTAAGAACTGTTTCTTAGATCTGTAAGGGGAAAACTTAGACTTTAAAAAGTGTTTTGAGGAGGGGGACACACAGAAAAGTACCAAAACTTCATAGAAGAAATTGTAGTCATACTGATGTTGCTAACAAAATTTGACTTTGAGGAAAGACTGGATTTTATCAAAATGTGTCTGCATTTAAATAAAATTGAATATTGTCGTGGACTACTACAGTCAGAAGATTCTTAAATACTGGAATAGTCAAAAAAAGCCCATTTCCTGTCTTTTGTTTTCTTGGTCAGTATGGCCTTTGCAATAGAGTTGCCAGAGCTATCAGAAGTTAGAATGCATGTAGGCTTAATGATGCTAGCTATGCTTGCAGACTTCTAGTAGTATTTTGCTTTCGTAAGCTTCTGTTGTTGTCTGAGCTCAGAGGGCATCTGAGCACCACACGGTCACCCACTTCCCCCTTCCCTCCCCCCAGGTCTGGGGAGGAAGAAGGCAAAAATCTTGGGAATTTAGATAAGGACAGGGAGGGATGACCTCATCCATTAAGGCACAGGCAAAAGACAGGCTCATTAGGGGACGAAAAAAAGAACATAAATTTAATACAGACAATAACAACATGTGACAGACAGAGTAGGACCATGAGAAGCGTTACTATGTCTTGAAAACACCTTTCCCCATCCCTCCCTTCTTCCTGGGCTCAGCTCTGTTCACAGTTTTTCTGCCTTCTCCCTCCCAAGCAGTGCAGAGGGCAGGGAATGGGGCATGCAGTCAGCCCCATTGCTGCTTCCACCTTGGGGATTGGGGTGGAACTCCTGGCATTCCTTCCATTCAGCGCAGTCCCCCTCTCACGGGAGACAGTCCCCCACAAACCATCTCCGACATGAGTCACTCCCAGGGGTGTGTGGGTCACCCCCACGTGTGGCAATCCTCCCAGTGCTGAACTGCAACAGCGGGGGCTTCTTCCCACAGGGTCCCGGCCTTCTTTGGGCACAGCCACCTGTCCTGGCGTGGGCCCTCCACAGGCCACAAATCAGCATCTGCTCCACTGTAGACCCCCATGGGTGGCAGGGGATACAGGGGAGCCTCTGCTCCTGCACACCTCCCCCCTTCTTCCTCTGTTTTCCCACTGACTTCTGTGTTCACAGAGGTGTCCTTCTCACAACTTCGACTTTTCCCTTGTTTCCCTTCTTATATACATTATCACAGAGTCACAGCCGCCGTTGCTAACTGGCTTGGCCTTGGTGCAGAGGCGGGCCTGGCTGGGAGCCAGGGGAGCTTTGAGAAGCTTCTCACAGGAGACCACCGCTGTAGCCCCTTCCCCTGCTACCAAAAAACCCTGCCACTCACTCAAACCAAGGCAGCTTCTTAATACTTTGTATACCGATGTTTGAAGTTGAAGTGCTTTTTTGTTCGACCTGGAGAAGTAATTACTGGCTTAATTTAATTTCTGTTTTTAATATATCTTAATGAGTCACAAATTTTCAGACTGGATATTGCTTGCATATGAGCATGCAACTAGGTAGGTGAAAACTAAATCTTTTCCTCTGACAGATGTTTGTGGTGGTATTACCTGAATCTAAAAGATGTTTGATTTTATTTTGCTCTTTCAAGATAAATTCCATGGATTACTATTTAGTAATAACTTGAGGTAGTTCAGTGTATGCATGTGTTAACATAAACTACAAATGTGAGTCAATATTAAACATCAAATAAAGGTAACACAGAATTGTAAGTAATGTAGGACCCAGCAATGGTTATAAAAATCTTGTTGTTAAGACTGGGATATTTTACAGTATAAATAATGAAAACTAGTGGTTTTCATCTTAGCATCTAAATAAATAACATGCAATGAAAGGTCACCCCAACAGAAATATAGACATGTCTAATAATACTCCAGAATAACTAAAATGTGCAGTTTACAGAGGGGGTTGTGGCTGAAGACCAGTCTTCCTATCCCATCTGTTCTTTTTACATTTTTATCTAAATTACTGCATAAGTACTTAAGACTGATCTATTATATAATTATATATAAAACATTCGTATCTTACTTAGGATCTAGGTAGCATTACAACAACACTTCCTTAGGCTTTTTGCAATCAAGTACGTCTTTCTTAATACTGCAATTTGTCAGTACTGCAGCATTTCCAAAATGTCACTGTTGCTTCAACATGCGTATCTGTCTCCACCTTTGTGTTAGTACCTGAGGTGTTTGGCACGCATAGTTACTTACCTCATGGCTAGACCAATTTTGACGTGAAAAGTGGCTCATGGCATTGTGTGAGGCATGTTTGAATGACTAGTAGATATCATAATGTGACTCTCTAGCTTTCTTAATTCTGTACAAGCCAGAATTAAGAAAGAATATTTCCTCATGACTCTTCTGTACATATCAGATAAATCCCTTGTAATACTTCCAATGCACAGAGCTTTCTGGTGCCAAGGAGGAAAGTTGAAGCAAAAGCTATTTTGGTCAGTCACAGTGTCTAAAACAGTCTCAAGTTTTCTGTGCAGATCTCTCCTATTCCGTGGATGGATTTGACAGAGAAGTTACCTAGTGCTCCATTAGTACTTGAAAGATTATAGACAGCAGAGATTTAGCAAAGGATTAGTCAATTGTAGAGTGTGCATTATCCATCCAGGCTTAGAACCATGATTGTCTCTTCAATCGTTTTCATTAGTGTCTTATTCAAAGATCGAATTATGTAACAATGACGTTTCTGGGGAATCTGGTAGGAGTTTTGCTTTGGTTTTTCTCTTCTGATAACTCTTCAAGCCTGGGAGAGGGGGAGAAAGCATTATTACACTTCAAACTTGAAGCATGTTTTAAAAAACAGCAGTTCAGTTGAGGCATGACTTCAGTTGCAGCATCTGCATTTGAATGATAACTTACTGTGGTGGAACTCTTGAGAGGGCAGGATGCGGTACAAGAAATACATAACTATTTTAGAAGCAGCTATAGGTATTACTCCCCTTAACAAGAGGGAACTGCTTCCTGAGGGTAGACATGCAAATCTGTGGCAACATCCAGGGTAAGTGTTAAAAAGCAGTCAGTGAGTAACTGTGGGAAAACCTGTGCTTAGTTTGTTCATGCCATTTTAAAACTTCATATCAGAAAAAAAGGAAAATCATTCATAAAACAGGTAATTTTTTTTTTTTTTGTACCTTCTAAACGGTGTGTCTTCTCCAGTTGTGGTTAAACTTTGTGGTTTCATTAGAAATTTCTGTATACTTCTTGTCCTTGGCTAGTAGAAGGTATTATTTCTAAATTAGGAGTTTGCTGAAGAGCAGAAAGAATAAACAGGTGTATACTCATCAGAATGAAAATGAAATGGTCGTTTTGTGTTTATTGCTTACTACTAGCCTGATGTGTACATATGTGCATTCCCCCTCTCTCCCATTAAAAATGTACATATTTTAATTTTATTCATGACAGAACTAGCATCTTCTGGAAAGTGGAAAAGAAAAATACTTTCCATGGTGTGTGCAGCTTTCTTTCTCTGCTAGGAAGCAAGAGTTCATCATATTTAGGAATAATGTCTCTTTAAAAGAAAGTTGTAATTATTAGAAGTCAGTTAAGGCTATCAATGTTTGAAATGTGAAATACAGTGCATTCTCATTTTGTTAAAAACAATCCAGGGTGATTTCTTGTACCACATAACTTGAGTATTAGGCTTTGGAAAATTCTTTCTGTTCATAACTGTATCCCTCAAAAATCTAACAGTGTGTATGAAAGGGGATTGTCATTCTTTCCCACCTTCCTCTGTACAAGTAGCATCAATCGATGGGGTGTTTCAGCCATCCTAATCTGTTGTATTTTTGTTATACGTTATAATGCTGTTACCTCATTTCAGATATTGCACAGGAATGCAAGATGGGACAGGCTTTTGTTCAAGAGCAGTTAATATGTTTCTACTGTTTTGGAATAATTTTGTGTAAGCAAGACTTTGAAGAAAAGCTTGAAGTAAAACTGTGATTGTTTGACTATAACTGAACTTAGATTTGTCCTGTGATTTTTCCACAAGAGCATTTCCTCTAATGATGATAGCAACAGTAAACCAAATTAAAGTCTAGTGTACCGTATTATTCTTTTTTTTTTTTTAATTGTATCACCAAACCCACAAAATCTAGCCTAGAAAATACACTGATGCCAACAGTTTCCAGCCTCTTACAACACAAGTATTCTTCAAGTTGGTATTGTGTTAGTGATTGTAGGGCTTTTTACTAAAAATCTGCCTATTAAAAGGGGTTCTTAGCACAATGTATTTGGATACAGGACAGTGGAGTGTCCTAGACTGTGACTTCCTTTGATTGTTTCATCTAAGTTACCTACATGCCAATTCTTTTTGAATTTTGCAGCCACTCTTTACATGTCGATAAAATGGTATGTGATTGCTCTTGATACTTTGAGGAGCTGGATTGGAAAGTAATGGCACATTCTTGCAGAATTCCTCTTTGTTTTCAAGCAGATTTGTTTGGCCACAGCTTGAAACAAGCCATCTAAAACCGAAACTTGCTAACTAATCCATTATTCTTTGTTTTGTAACTGCGACTGCTTGACTTTCATCTACTACTGACCGTTAGTATCAAAGTGCAAAAGACACTACCCTGCTAATATTTGTTTTTATTTCCAGCATTCTTAATAGGGCATCGCCCTCCTTTCAGGGAGAGGTTTAGTTAATGCAATTGTTGTACACACTTGGAATTCAAAACTGGTTAAGATGTATTTGGCTTATGTTTGGATTTGCCATTCCAACAGTTTCATAAAAGCAGAAAAGCTGTTGTCATTGGACTGTAATAAGGATCCCTTTTATGTTTTGATTAAAACTTTAAGGGAACTAAAGGTTAGTAACCAACAATTGTGACAAAGTAAACTGAGTTGAAGAAAAGAGCACTGTTCTTATTGTAGCTGCAGACTGCTTATTCTAGTCAATGGAATAAGAAAATTTAACGCATGTTGGTAAATCAGCTTATCACTCAACTTCTAGAGGTACCCTGTCTTATATAAGAATGGTGGGTTTAAAATGTGTGTGTGTAGGGGGGAAAAAAAAAACCAACCCACCATGAGACAGTTTCCAAAACCTAATAATGTATGTAGGATATAGAGGTCCTCACCTGTCATCTCCTCACTACACAAATTCAAGTGCATTGCTTAACTCAAATACTTCCTTTATTTCTCTTAATCATCTCCTGAAATAAAAATACCATTAGAGTGTGATGTCAGTTTCAGTGCTGTCAGTTTAAAGTTGTGAAAATCCTGATTAAAAACCCAAACTAAGGCACAAAAGAAAGCAGAAAAGGCAAGTACGTTTTTTTTGCCAAGGTATTAATTTACATTTATGTATCAAAGGCATTGTAAAGTATGTTCTTCTACCTCAATTTTTGCTTGGAATACTGGTGTGATTTCTGTGACCGATCAATTTTTACAACTTTTGCCATCTTCATGCAGAGGCAAAATGATGACAGCAATGGTAGTTTGGGTTTAGCTTGCTTGTGAGCTTTCCTGCAGCCTCCAGAATAGTATAGTGCACAGCCTAGAACAGTAAAGCTGATGTTTGTTTGTAACTTACAGCATAGCTGCTGCTGCTCTTTGGTGATCACAGAAACTCTTCTTAAGTTTTGTTCTGCGACTTCCACAATCATGCCTTGATTTAAAACAGTCTATTACTTTTAGAAAGATGGTTTTATACTGGAAGAATCAACAGAGAGGGAAAAGGACCTTCTAGTTTCACAATGTGATGTCTGGCAGGTGCTTGCATTTTTGAAGTTTTTTAGAAGCTAATCTGAGACCAAATGTATTTTCAAGATATCTTAAAAGTTTTAAGTTTGCTTTTTTGAACCTGGGACCTTGTTATGGTTGAGCTCAGGAAAAAGTGTGTGCCACACAGAGGACACATCAATAAAATATGGGGTAGACTTGTAGATAATTGGGGAAGTTCTGCAGAATTCTGTCAGTATCTCTTTCTCACTGCTCTCTAAAAATATCTAATGGAATACTGACCAGAATAAAAAATGCCACATATACATTGTAGAGGAAAAAAAAAAAAACAAACCAAAAACCAACAAAACAAACCCAAACCTGTTACAGGTATGGGTAAGATACTCTTCTTGGGAAGTCTGGCAATATCCTTCTTTAAAGATGGAACACTTAGCAAAGATGCTCTTTGGGAAGAACTAAGATGATCAAGATGTGTGGTGGTTTTCTTTTAAAAACAAAACCCACAAACAAACCCTAACCACTGGCTTCTGTTTCTATTTCTGTCAAAAGTTCCTCCTTTATCTTAGTTAAATCATACATTTTTTTGTTTTCCTACACAGGATAATCAAGGACTAAGGTAAGGGGTGGGAGGGAGGAGGACCTCTCTGACAAAGGTGCTGAAACAAAGCTAGTATACCACTTGTGCAGAAGAGGGCTAGCTGAGGCCTGTTGAGCAGGAGGAGCAGAAAATTACATTGGGAATTGTTTCTTTTCTATCATTTGGCAACATGAGTTGTTAAGTTACAGATTTAGATCACTGGAGCACATGTATCTGTTCTCATTGAGATTATGCTCAAGATACGATGCTTTTACTAGTTTAGTGTTGTACAGTTTGTGTGACCTGTGCTATCAAACTAAGACTAAACTAAAAAAACCCAGATGCCTTGTGGAGGGGACCCGTGCATCGAAGGGGGAATATAAGCATGCTTCCTGCCTATACCCTATTTTGTTTGCAAAAATGCATTGTTGCTTTGTCCGTAGGCTTGCATGGATGCCTGGTGATGGACAACACTTGAATGGAAGTTTGCGGTGTTGCTGCAAGTGTGAATATTGCCCAGTATCTCCTTTATTCAAGCACTATTTTCACCTGATTGCCAGGGAAGCTAAAGCATGCCAACTAACCAAGGAAATAAATTTTACATTTTCTTTAAAACTTCAGTGTCCCAGGCTCCACAGTCACTCTTTTGTGATTACACATAACTTAAATGAAACTTTGTTTTTCAGGGAGCAAACTACTCCACTGCCATCTCCTTGTGAGTGGGACTGGGAGCACAGCTGTACATCAAGCCTAAAGCATATCAGAACAAGTAGACAGAGGCACTCAAAAATCACCATTCCTCACAAGGTACTAGTCAAGTTTGCGTTGGTTAGAACTGGCCATTAGTTTAAAACAATAGATTCTTGTCATGTGCTAGCTATAATGTTCATTTTGAGCTATGCTTTTAAAAGTTTTTAAGAAACTGTACTTAATGGAATAGTAGGTTAAAACTGGAACTAGTTCTTTTGGATTCCTCAAGCAATTTAGAATGATCATTTGCTGAAAGCTTGATGATGTGCAGCAGGCCTGCAGAATAGGAGAGACCTCTGCAATGAACTCAATATTTTGCTAGTTATGCGAATAATAATGCACAAGCCTGTACAAGTTCACCTCTTACTTAAACATGGGTAAAGAATGGATTTAATCTATGGTGATGTCTTCAGCAAATATAAATACTTAGTGTGAATCTGGGAATAAATAAATTACTTTAAGCATGGAGGGTAAAATTAATGGCAATTGCTTAGTGACTCACTAGAATCCTGGGAAACAGAATAGCCACACATAGAGAGACTTGTTTTGCTACATATTTTCTTACAATACATCATAAAGGTAAATATAATCTTTTTGGCATCTTAACCTTGCTTTTGAAACCCTTTCTCAAGTGCTTCCAGAGAGAATATAAAATGCATCCTTTTATGTGTCGATCAAACATGCTTGGCAGGTTACAGTTTAGGAGAACAAAAGGTTTTTATGCTGGTGTGTTGCAAAACTCTGACATCTTTTATTCTTGAGAGATTAATAACTATTGTTGCTTTGGTAATTTACTTGCAAATGTGGATATCGTTTGTCCTGTCTTTCTGATTTATTATATACTTAACCAAAGCTACTCATCCTTTAGTTTAATTTTCTGGCAGTGAGGGGAGAGGATGCTAGTTAATAAGGCTCTAAAGACATGATAGAAAAGAAAAAAAAAAAAAAAGGCATTATATAAAATAACAAGCAAGCCCTGTTCACTTAGGGCACTGTGCAGGGGAAAATGGGATATCAGAAAATCAGTGAAGCATAGCTAAGCAGAAATGTCTCAGCTGAGGTCTCCAGCAGACCCTAGCAATCTACTCAAAATAAAACACTTTCAAGGATATAGTATGGTGTGGATACTTAGTGAAAGAAATTCCAGAACCATGTATCCACTAGAGAAAGATGACTCAGAAGCTGTGTCTAGCCACCTTGACTGTGGGCTCCCAGAAGTTGTGGAACTGGCAAGTAAATGACTGGACTGGCTGTGTCCATCTCTGATGACTGTTCTCACTATTCTGCCTTGGACTCTCTCTCACCAGCTCATTTTAGTTCTTCCTGAAAAACAGCACCCAGAAGTGAGCTTAGTACCTTAGCTGAGACCTTGCTGTTAGTGAATAGGGCTGCAGAACTGTTTTGTTTCTTAATGAGCTCGTCAGCAGGAGGTTTGCCAGTATAAATAGGATGGGGAGGGGCAGAGCTTTGAAGCATAGTTTTAGGGCTCTAAAGGACTAACTTGGCTGGAAAACTGCTGTCTGGAGCTTTGTTTTTTAAATTCACCTCTGTATCAGAAAAAAAATTAACAAAGTTTTGTGTATGTTACATCTTGTGCATTCTGCATATTCTTTTGCTTGTTCTTGATAAATATAATGGAATGGGATGCTTTTCTGTACTGTGTTGTTTTAATTTAGTTGAACCGCAACAGGTGATTACCATGGTAGTCTCTGATGTTGTAGGGCTTGACTTCTAGTGAGGGAAGGCAGATAAATTGCTGAAAGCAGAGAATTGTTTCACAGCCTTGCAAGGAATAATCAAGAAGCACGGAGAAGAGAGGAAGGAAATGAGATGTGAGCAAAATGAATGTTCAAACAGAATGTGCTCAATGTGGTGGTGCCTTCTGTTTAAAATGACCAAGTTGGGCGTGGGGAAGAGATTTCTTTTCAGGTGTTGATACGCACTTCTTTATGGTGTTTGAGGAGAAAAACAGTACAAAGTTGTGTGGTTTTGTCTGTTTAAACTACTTTGTTATTTCATTCTCTAGAATCAACAGTACTAACTTTTTTAGCCTCTTAATAGAGGTTAAACTGCTTATGCCAAGGAAAGTGACTTTAATTTGCCTGGTCTGTAGAGGGGGGTGTGTGTGTGTGTGTGTGTGTGTGTGTGTGTGTGTGTTCAGGTAGAGTTACTGTTAAGTCCCTGTTTCTCTCTTTAGCAGTAAGTCACACTATTTAATTTGCTTGCCATAGGACTTTAATTTCAAGACACTGCAGTTTAGTTTAAAACATTGTACAGATGAAAATGTGTTTAGAATAAATACTGTTTTTTTCATTCTTCCCACTGTCATTCTTTATTGGCCGTTATTAAACACCTCTGCATATTCTCATGCTGCTTTTCATCTGTGAAATGTGCTATACATTTATATTTTCTAATTTGCATATTCTTTGCAAGGATGTAGCAACAAACAAAACAAGCAGTCTTCTGCTGGTTTTAGCAGAATAAACCTGTAATGTGAGATCTAGGAGAACTGATGACTAATATTTCAAAACTGTTGAAAAAAATATGCTAAATTACTGTATACTGTTAATATCTAGTGTTGTTCCTAGTTGTTCAGCATATAACATCATTTGTAACAGTAAATTTTTCTTTCATTTTTTGTGAACTTGAAACTGAGTTTAATATCGACTTAGAACAGTGCTGCTTCTTGCTTTAAATCAGTATCTACATCTTTTAGATTTTTTTTTCTTTTTATTTGAAGTATCCAGGTAAATCTGTATGTCTTAAAATAAAAATTCCTTATAACATCAAAGTAGGTGGCCAGGTGAGCCACAGAGGATTTTGTACTGTTGATTACCCCAGAAAAAGTATGTATGAAGTGTGGGATGCCGTTTATGTTGGGCTCTGTGTTTCTTCCAGGGACATCTGTGCTTTCTAAAATAACAGCCTTAGAATTGCTGCTTTGAAAGCTGAAGAGTGTGTATACCTGTACAACCTTACACTAGACCCAAGGTGGCCAATGTACAAGACTCTTCAAGCTGTGTGCCAAAATCATTATGCTGCATAATCACAAGCTGTACTTTAGAAGTGAAGACAAGGGGCAGGATAATGAACATGTCATTCTCCTTTAAGCTGGCATTTAAGTCATGCTGTAACCCAGGAATGATAGGGTAATTAAGGTGGAAGGGGACCTCAGGAAGTTTCTAACCCAGCCTCTTGCCTAAAGCAAGGTCAGCTGTGAGATCAGAACACATTGCTTGGGGCTTTACCTAACTGAGCTTTGAAAACCTCCAAGGGCAGAGATGGTACAGCCTCTCTGTGCCCTGGGTCCATGTCTTGGCTGCCCTCATGGGGAAATTTTTTTCTTACATCCATCTGAACCTCTCTTGTTTGAACTTTTGACCATCGTCTCCTATCCTGCCACCACATACCACGTGCTGTTAAGAACTCCTCAGCCTCCTCCCACCAGTATCAACGGGCTGGGGTTAGGTGTCCTGAAGCCATCCTTCCTCCAGGCTGAATAAGCCCAACTGCCATAGCCTCCTCTACAAGGGCCAGTGCTTCAGCACCCACCATCTTGGTAGCCCTCAATTGGATTCACTTCTACATGTGATAACAAGTGCTGAGATAGTATTCATGACTTCTCCAGTCCCTCCAAGATAAAGTTTATTGTGCCATACATGTGACCTAACTCCATTCTAGAGCTGCATATTTGAACCATATGTAGGTCCTGAGCAGTTTGAGAGTCAGAGGTCAGCTACCTACACATCCTCTAATCCCGAAGGTTGAATCTGCTAGGGCCCAGTTTACTCTATATAAAGTAGTGGACATAATTGGATTTATGAATCATTTACGTAGGACTGGGCTGACTGATTTGTGTGATTTTTGCAGGCTGATGACAAACAGCAGCTTGAAGAGATTGCCTGGAAGGAAAGGGGGAAAGGCTGTTTGGCAGCATGGTATTTTTAGAAACTTCTACAGTGCCTTTCATCACAGGATCATGAACACTTGCTTAAAACCAAAGCAAAACTGACATCTCTGTTCAGACAGTTAAACAGCTGGGCTACCAGGCTACATTCCCAGTATCTCTTGCTGAAATCAGTTCCCAGTTCTTTTAAGGAGGTTGCCTGTTTGTCATGATGTCTTGCAACACCACTAAGTGTTGAACATTTAAAAAAAAAAAAAAAAAAAAAAAAAAAAAAAAAAAAAAAAAAAAAAAAAAGAAAATAAAAAGAACTGATAGTCAGAGGGGCCAGTTAAAAGGCTTGATGGTGGGGAGGAAGTGGAGAGAACCTGAATCAGAACATGGTAACTGCTCTTGGTTGCTGCAGACAAGTTGTTGAATAGCCTTACTTGGTTGGCAGGAGTAACTGTGAGAGGCAATTGCTTGTTTTAAATTTGCATCCTGTAGTGTAGTGTAGTGTTAAATGGGTGTTCCCTCTGCTGATGCTGGAAGCAGCACAACTGCTTCATTCACAGTGGCATTAGATAATTTATGGAATACATCTTAGGTTTTGCATGACTCAAGCTACAGCAAGTGATCTCTTTAAATTAGTGCTACACAGACTCAGTAGATTCAGTCTGATTGTAGGCAAAGAATGTGTGCCTTGATTACTTAAACTGAAAATCTCAATGGGAAATGTGGTCACTAAAAGATTTTTGCATATTTCTCATAGAGTTAATAGACCAGTTAATCTTTTCATGGAAGTTAATTTTAAAATCTCTACACACCTACATAAGATTTTATTAAATCCCCTGCACATGATACTGCTTTTTACAGTTATTGCATATGCAGAATAGCTAGTCCTAAGCACTGCGGAGGACAGAGCTGCATGCTTAGAGCCCAATTTGTGTATTTTGACATGGTGTTGGTACCCAGCCTTTACTCTTCATGATGCAGTATCCCTTCCAGGACTGACTACAACTTGTACCTGCACCTCCTGTTTTAAAGGGAGACAATGAGTGACAGGTGTGTGCAGCCATGCCCCCAAATGCTCTAAAGTGCACAGAGACCTGCATAGACAACTGACTATGTTGCTGGGTCTCCTGCCCCTCTTCTGCTTGTGCTGTTGTCCCAG